CCTTCCACCCCGCCCTTACTCCCCATCCCCCCGTGCACTTCAGTCCCAGCACTCACCTTTGTTACACGTTTAAGATGATCAGATAAACATAACAAAAAGAAAATTGTCCCATCTGTGACACGGGCCATTCATCGATCCAGGCTGTGTTAGTGTTATTGTATTGCGGCGCCGGTTTTGGCGCCCTGTTAAGGTAGACTACACCTGTCGCCGTGAAGATGGGCTTTGTTGCGTAGAACAAAGGGGACTATTGTTGCTGTTGTTGTTGTTGCTGTTGTATATTGTGTTGTTATTTGTTGTTATCATTGTATTATTGAGATTGTATTGTTTTTGTTATTTTTGTTGTTATGATGCTGCTATTGTTGATGCTGTTGCTCTTGTTGTTATTGTTGTTATTGTTGTTCTTTTTGTTGTTGTTGATGATGATGATGAAGTTGAAATTATTGTCGTAACCGTAGTTGTAGGGCGCTCTACTTCTCCATTATCCCTCTTCTGTTTCTGCCTGTCGTACACCCCCCCCCCCAGCATTAAATGAGAGTTAATTGCGTTGATGTGCTTCGCTTTAATCAAACAAAAAATACATTGATGTTGTTGCTATTGTTTCACTTTGATCGCTGTACTTACCACATTGTAAAAGTGACCTTTTGGGTCACGTGATTCCGCAATGTCCTCCCAAGCCTAGTTCCGGTGCAGATATAGGTCGATGGGAGGATGGGTGCATACATTTTAATGAATTAAATTATTTATTCTATGTTCTGATGCATTATTGATGGAGGTGAACATCCGTGTGAAATGAATGCTTCAACAAGAAACGTAAGCTCATTAAAATGTCGTTCATTTTCGTTTTCAAACAATACGGATTCTCTGAGGGATGAAATTGAAATTCGAGACAATGGCCGAGCAGCTGTAAGCATATTTTAATAATATCAAAGAAAGGCGAACAGTAAGAGATGCAGAAAAAGATAATATAAATGCTTTAAGAAATATAAATAAAAGATGAAAACGGTTCTTTTCCACAGTTCTAACATTGTGTAGTAGACTGTCTTTTTTACCCTCTTGTCTTCAGTCTGTCTGTTGGTCAAGAACAGTTGCAAATGGCAAGCAAGGAAAGATAATGGTGCTATTCTAGATGTGGTTCGCAACCCCCCCCCCAAAAAAAAACACAACAAAAAACAAAAACAAAAACAAAAAAATACATATTTTAAAAATAGAAATAATCACCCTGCATCGACAACAGCAGCATCAGAGGAAACGAAATTAAAACACAGCACACGCTCCCATAGAGTAGCTTGCAGTATAAACCCCAAAGTAATGAAACCGACACAATAATAAGCATGTTTATGGTTTAATAAACTGAGAAACTACGTGGACTGAAATAGCTACAGAGTTTGCTGTCCATAGAGAACTGTATCTCTCACCTTCACGTTCAACCGTAACAATTTAATGATGAAAAGGGAAAATGGGAAAGGAAAAGGGATAAATAGCCAAGGCATGCAATCTGCAGAGACAGTTAGAGGTACTTACAATATTAACCTTTTTCTCCTCATACCCCAACTCGTATAACTATTGAAACAGCTAAAGATTTGGTTACTTTTCCCAACTTGAAAGAAGAAAGGAATAGGGGATTAAATATTCAACTCAGGGGTATTTCATTCTCACACACACACAAAAACACCCAATCATGAACAGAACTTACTGTTGAGCGGGGATATACACAAACATGTTATCTAATATTACAAGTACTAGGAATAAACCTACAATTCAGGTGTATTTCTTACTCATATGCCAAAAATCATGATTTTGCAACTTACGCCCTTGTTGAAATGAGCCATTGATTTGTCACGGCTCGCATCATGACACTTTTTCACTGCATGTATTGCGAGGGCAACTGGCGCACACAGGTAACAATACCTTTGTAGGGCCAGATTGAAAGCCAAAGCTGATTCAAGTGATCCTAATTCAATATGCATATATTGGAGTAGTGTTAGAAGCGTGCAATTGTCTGTCCGCCTGTCTTTCTGTCTGTTTATCTGTTTGCCTATCTGTCTGATTCCAACAGGTGTATATGTATGTATGTATGTATGCGTATGAGTTTATGTGTGTCTTTGTGAGTGCGAGTGGTGTGGATTTTCGTGTTTGCGAGTGTGTATATTATGTATGTGCGAGTGTGTGTATATGTATGTGTATGTGTGTGTATGTGTGTGTGTGTGTGTGTGTGTGTGTGTGTGTGTGTGTGTGTATTACGTGTATGTGTGTGTACGTGAGTGTGTTGTCTTTGTGTACGTACGTTTGCTTGTTTGCTTGCGTACGTGTAATCTTGCGTATGTGTATAAGTATTTGTCTATGAAAGTCTCTCCTGTTATGCCATGAGGAACTAGCAGCAACCGTCACGCTTGACAGAAAAAAAAGAGACAGCTAATGGAAACATGATGATTTCAAATAATTATGATGCGGCAGCTGTGGTAGCATCTGAAACATCATTAACAATAAAACACAACTACAACTGCAATAGTAGCAACAGCAGAAGCAGCAAGGCTAAGTCGACCAACAAGCCACTACCCTACCAACACAAAAAGACAACAAAGCAATAGCACCAGCCGTATTATTGAAGTACATGTTCCGCACCGGAGTCTCTCATGGTTAGGCTCATAGCCGTTGCATACTGAAAACGTGAGGGAAAAATGTTTTGTACGAGCATCTTAGTCTTTCAGCTGGGACTTTGTAACCCGCCCAGCCCTGGTTGGTCATGACAGGCAAGGTCGAAGCAGCTCGCCCCCTAAATTATGTAAATTATGTCATTTGAGAGGGGGTTGGTGGTAAAGTATCTTCAATCACACAAATACACACACACACACACATACA